ATAACAGAAATCTCAGCAATAAATTCTCTCTGTCACTGAATAGTGCCAAGGCCACACAATGGGGCAAGGATAGTCGTTCACACAAATAGTGTTTGAAAACAACATGATATCCATACATAAAAGATCTGATCCATACTTAACTTATTTCTTACTCCATACACTATAATCATCTCCAGTGTATTGAAGAATGTAGTGTCAGACCAGAAACTATAAGAGCCTTGTAGAAAATGTAAAGGGAAACTTGAGGACATTTATATTGGTGATGCAGCATGGCAGCCAGAGGGAAGAGACAAATGGGACTGGGCTAAACAAGGCTCCTTTCTGCAAAGGGAAGCCATGCAGTGCAGACACAATGGAGGAAACAGAGGAAACAATTTCAACTTTGATTTGATGAAGAGTTTATACCCAAACTGTATAAGGAACTCCTGTAACTAAACAAAAAAAATTAAATAATTAAACATAAGCAAATTTACAAACAGGCAAATTGTTTAAATGGACATTTCTCTAAAGAGGATGGAGGAGGGGGCCAACGAGTATATGAAAATGTTTTAGCACGAGTCATCATCAGTGAAATGCACATGAAAACCACAAGGCAGCAGCTCAACAAATGCACTCTGGGGAAACACACACAGGTACATGTAGCTGGAGTTTTCTCTCCGGGTCCTGCCAATCCCCGGAAGTCCCTTAGCCCACTTATAAAATAAATATACAGGTGCTTATATTATTTAAACTGCTCAGCCATTAGCTCAGGCCCATCATTGTCTAGCTCTCACTCTTATATTCAGCCCATTTCTATTAATCTATACTTTGCCACGTGGCTCGTGACTTACTGGTACCTTACATCTTCCTTGTCCTGGCGGCGGGCTGAAGCAGCCCCCCCCTTCCCTTCCTGTTCCCTCAATTCTCCTCTCTGTTAGTCCCGCCTATACTTCCTGTCTGGCTACTGGCCAATCAGTGTTTTATTTATTAACACATTTGCCATAAAGAACATCCCACAGCAGGTACGCACAAGTATATAAAGAGAAGCGAGACCCGCACAGGGGAACTCAATCAATGAAAGACAGATAGCTATATATCATCTGGCATTCCACTCACCTGGTGTCAGGGGGCAGGTGGGAAATGACATCTTAAGGGAGAGCAGATGGCTGTAGGTGTGAACTAAAATGACCCACATCACACTTCTCATAGTTAAAGGGAAGGCTTGTTGTTGGTGATGGTGGTAGTGGTGGCTACAGTGATTTTGTGTAGGGGGGAGGTACGTGTGTGTTTGCACATTTGTGTGCACATGTGGAGTCCCGAAGTCCACATCAGAATTCTTCCTCTACTGACTCAAGTATATCTCAACTGACACAACTGTTTGAGGCAGTGACAGGGATACACCAATAGACACCGCAGAGAAATCCTAAAAGACTTCTAGAAAGTTCAGTTTTCTCTCTACATGTTGGGAAATTGATCTAGAGAGAGCAAGTGTCAGATCAATGTCACATAGGGGTTTAATACTGGAGCCAAGAGCAGAACTTTTCAATATTCCACCTACAAATCTATAGTCAGAGGAGTTGGCCTGACATTGATTTAAGCATACAGACAAAAAAGAAAATATCATATCAATAGAGGGTTTTCTCAGGGAATTTTGTGCCAAACTCTACTCCAGACCATTACAGGGTTTCACCATTTTGTCTCTTTAGAAGCCACTGAGGCTGTTCTAGCAACCACTGCAAGATGACTATCATCTCAAAAAGATTGAATAACTTCTCTAGTGCCATATGATTTTTAATAGGAAGACACACAAAATCTCAGGCCACAGCTCTAAATGCAAAGGTCAAATGTCAAGAAGGAATCGAGCCAGAGGACACAAGGATCTGAGACATGGGGCAGGTCCCACTACATCATGGTTCCTTACCTTCCTTGGATGTTATTTGTTCCAACAAGATCACTTTGCCACGAATCTCTGGTTTTTCCCAGGCCTCTGCCAGGAAAGGCTTACCGAGAGGAGCACCTGTTCCCTGATGCCTCCAGCTGATGCAGCAGCCCGTGCAGATTCTAGTACTATCTGCTAATGCCCTGGGCTTCTTGAGATTTGCATGCAAAGCTCCCAAGGGAATGCGGAACTAAGATTGGATTCTCTGCTTGGCAGCCTTGCCTGGTGGGAAGGTGCAGGGTGGGCACACTGCAATGACTCCACATAATTGGATGGGACCCAAATGGAAAACACACAAGAGGAGAACAGAACCCTGAAAACAACTCACTGAGCCAGCTTTCCAGAGCAAGCCCAGTGCCAAGACTTACAAGTCAGCCTTTCTCTCTGAACATATGAAAGACAGGCACATTTAATTTTGACACAGAGCCCCAGAGGCAGCCAAGAAAAAGTGGAAAAACAAACAAACAAACAAACCCCCACTATACTGTCTCATCTGTCTGCCAAGCCCAGTTCTGTATGGTATTTACACATACACATCTCTGAAATCTTCCTTAAAGACAGTCCCCATTTCACAGCTGCACAAACTGAGTTTCTGTTAAGCACCAAGTTTCCATAAATTGTATTTGTCACAGCCGGTGACACATTATAACAGTCTCAAGCAGTATGTTAGGTCTTGAATAAAAGTTCAGTGGGCTGGAATGTTCTACAGTGTTCACTGCCCTGCCCAGTGCTGGTTCTGGGGTGTTTGCAATCTCCCAACATAGACTATCACACTATGGCTCCCTCCCTTACTTTTTGTCTGCTACAGTGAGTGACCTTTCTCCTGAATCTCTAGCTGTTCAACTCTGAACCAGCATGATACACACAATTGTTTCAACCTTCCATTCAGCATATATTGCTTGAGCATGGGTTTTGTAGGGCAGGTGTCTTGGTAGGTCCTAGGGGAAGAAGCTAAATGAGATGGCCCCTACTCTGAGCTATGCAGAGCTCCTGCATAGGAGAGCCAAAGATCCTTCAAGCATTTGAGAAATCCGACAACACCATTTCAGCAGTGATGGCACAAATGGTTTTGGCTGATGCAAATAGCACTGACCACCAGAGCACCAAGTAGATGGAGCATCATGACCCTTTCATACACTTGAATGGCATCAGCTAAGGACCTCATCATGTGAAGGACCTGCTGTAAGTGTTTTGAATTAGGCTGTGAATGCTAACAATTATCAATATCTCTGGCCATATTCCCTTGGGAAGTGTCTGAGCTGAAGGTTTTTAGGTGGTGAGTCCATTAGGGAGACTCTTTAAGCTACCACATAGTGCTATGAGAGAGGACAAGCTTGGCACAAGGAGAGTTGAACTGTGATTGGAAACTGGATTGAATGATTGTTCCTGTGTGACTGTCAGTTGTCAATGTCTCAGTAGCAAGGAAACTGGCAGATGACTTGGGGACATACCACACATCTACTGAGGGATGAGGGGTCTGTTGTGGGCATTGGGGGTGGAAAGCCTTCTATCCAGACCACACTCCATGCTGAAACATGAATTTGGTGATGCATAGGGAGGTAAAAGAAATGCCTGTGTTATGCTGGGGGACTCTTTTCTTTCCCTCACTCATTTGAGGCTCCTGTGTAGGAGGTAAGCACATTAGTTTCCAGGAAGTTTGGTGAGTGTCAGAGGTAATGAGGGTGTGCATTCATTCTGTTCTTATCATTCTCTAATGCCAGCTCCATGCATGAGAACAAGCCCTACCATGGGTTCAGTTCCCCATCCTTCCAGGGGAATCGTGGCTGTCCCCCTTCAGAGACCTAAGGATCATGAAAACATGTGACACGGCAGCTTAACCTGGATAGAGATGTGACTAGGCTCACATTTGCAGCCAGATCCCCTGACTAGATCTCCAACTAGGGAAAATCCAGAAAAGCAGGGCATTTTACTTCATAGCCAGAACAGTTTGGCCCGAGAACATTCTGTTGCAGAAGGTGACAGGGCTGCCTAGGCACAGTCCTTCACATGCCTGCCACTGGCTTAACCATGATAAATTTATTGTGTCTACTTGTCTGGGTCATGGGGTGTGTAGATGTTTGGTTAAACATTGTTATGGCTGTCAGGATGGTTGTCTCTGAGAATTGTTTGAACTGAACAAAAGGCCTACCTGAGGGAAAGAGATCTCCTTCCCCCACTGTGACAGAACTGGTTCAATCCATTGCATTTCCGACTATAACAAAGCAAAGAGTTGTTTTTCATAAGTGATAATGTTATTCAGCTTCTGGAAAAAGACTTGGCCTAGAGTTCTGCCATCAACTCTCCTTGCTCTCCAGCTTGGTGAGGCAGATTTTCATCCTTCTCAGCCTCTAGAATCATTTGAGTCAATTCATTACAACAATGAAGGAATCGTTGCTATTGGTTCTATACCTCTGGGCAACCCTGAGTAATACTGGCTGCTTACGTCTGAATAATACACTAATAAAATGTCTCATGTGTTAAGGAGCAATACAGACAGTGATGAGAGAAGAGTAGTGGCAGGTATTTCTTGGAAAAAGCAAAGGGAGTGGAAAGGTAGACATATTTATTTATTAAGCAGATCCTAACCACCAGGTACTAGGCAAAGAACTTTACATTTGTAACAACCTTGGGTACACATAATTGCACATGAGATTAGTGGCGCTTAGTGATGTCACTCTAGAGGTGGAGAGAGACAAACACAGAGAGATTAAAGAATTTTATCTGGATTTTAAAAGCAGGCATGACTCAAAGCCAACAGACATTCAATATCACCACATGGTGTGAAGGAAACATCCTTACAATAGTACCATCACCTAGCTTCTAGAGAGTTCTTATCTCCAAAAGGACTAGAAGTATAAGAGGGACCATAGGAGAAGAATATTCACTATGTCTACTACAGGGTTTGACACTCAGAATGCATCTGAGAGATGATTGTTGAGAAGTGAAATTTGAATTGACCATGAAAGAAATGTACAAACACTGCCCTAAAGAAACATTCGAAAGAAGAAGGAACCTCATAGGACACACTCTTTTAAGGTGAGAATTGCAGGTCTTGGGGTCATGGCTCCCATGCACACATTACCTCTGAGGAAGTCGGCTTGCAGTATCCAGCTCCAAAGACCAAGTTCTCCAGAGAAATAATAGGCTGTTCTGGTCCTGTGTCTGGGCCACCTTTCCCTAACCAGGAGCCTCTTCCTGGGCGAGTGAAACTAGAAATAATTGGAAGGGAAAAAAAGGAGGTGAGTAAAGCTATCATGTGTTAAATCAGCCCCCTGGGGGACCACAACTTAGGTGCTTGTGGTATATAGGTTTAGGTGTGTTCCAGCAGGAGGTTTTGGATGTTGTGATCCCAATGCTGTCTAATAGTTGGGTATTCTTGGATAGTACCCATCAATTAGTTGTACAGAGAGGTACCCTAACGCCTGTATGTCCATCAGCTGAGAGGTTGTTGAGGCAATGTTCTAGGGACTCATCATCCTGGGAGACAGATAGAAAGAGCTCCTGACCAAAGTAGAAGGACCACCCCCAAGTTAATCATGCTGTTGAGAGCTACTTCTGCCCTCATGGGATCATTCCCTGGCATGAGCTCCTTCTAGCCTCAGCCCCTCCCTGCTTCTACTTGCCTTCCTATGGAAGATGTAAAACAGCATTCATCTCCATAATCCATGCAAGAATCCTGCAATATGTCCTAGATTACTGTAATCAATAAAGCATTCGATATTATCTATGCTACCTGGGAATGATGTAATCTCTTCAAGAGAAATACGTGGGTTTTTGTCCAGTTCTGATTCATTATAAAGATCATCTGACAGATGTGCTGGCCATGATCAATCTCAAAGGAGATTTGGCAATGTGATGAGATCATGTGGCCTTATCATATTTGGGTATATGGTCATTCCCTCTAACTCAACCTTTTTTTTCCCCTCCAATAACAAATAAGAAAAAAAAAAACTGCTTACACTGAGTTTCCCTTTCTTTCGGATATCTATTAAAACTGACTCAGATGAGATTTTATATATTCAGGATGGTATGTGAGATCGTGTCTTCTATATATAACAGGGAAGCTGCACTCAAGAAAACTCAAAAACACAGCTGCCTAAAGAAGGCTTGCACAGCCGGGCGGTGGTGGCGCACGTCTTTAATCCCAGCACTCGGGAGGCAGAGGCAGGCGGATCTCTGTGAGTTCGAGGCCAAGCCTGGTCTACAAAGCGAGTTCCAGGAAAGGCACAAAGCTACACAGAGAAACCCTGTCTCGAAAAAACCAAAAAAAAAAAAAAAAAAAAAAAAAAAAAAAAAAAAAAAAAGAAGAAGAAGGCTTGCACAATGAACATACCAGTCACCATGCCACTGTGCATGGATGAAATTTCACAAGGCCCTAACCCTAGGTGAAGAGCTACAGGCAACTAATAACTGCTAAGACAGGGAGAATCATTCATATGATTCTCCTGATAGGTTATCCAATACCAAGTGGCCATCCCTAAGCATATATATATGCTTACACACACATGTATGTATATATACATATATATCATACATATATTCATATATATATATATATATATATATATATATATATATATAAAAGCAATACTAAATGGACCCACCAGGCGTATAAATGTAATGGTAATAATTAAAGAAGAAAAGGTCATGAATATGAAAGGGACTTGGAGGGGACACAAGAGAAGTTGGAAAGGGTGAAAATAATGTAAATACAGTACTCACATATGAAGTTCCAAAGATATTAAAAATCTAATAGCTTATTTGGATGTATATTTTTTATTCTACAATTACCACTATATAGGTATGTTTTAATCTTCCAAAGAGACGAATAGTCTCTCACAGCAAATAAAAAAAAAGGTCTCCACCATAAATGTCCTCAGATGTCATCGTCTTTGCTCTTGTTGCTTAAGACAGCTGGGGCAGATTTCAGACAAGGAACTCATGTTTCTGGCAGCAATATTGGCAGCGAAATCAAGTTAAGGTTACATTTCTAGTTAATTCATATATTCAAATATTACTAGTCTCGTGCCACATGCCAGACAGTACATGAGATGTTAGAGTGGCAAGGTGGTAAATGTGTCAGCCTCACCTTAAGTACACATTGGTCTAGAAAGTGACTCAAATGAATAAGTCAGTGTTGGAATGTGATGGGAGATAAACAGTGGCCAATAAGCATAGAGGAAAAGTTTATGAAGTAAGCTGGGTGAACGGGCTAAGTACTCCAAAGTGGTATGCCACAGTAGACAACCACAATTATACAAAACTTAAACCAGCTAGCGGCACCACCTACATATTAGGACCTGGGCTAGATTTGAACTTCCCACTTCATCTCCTGACAGAGGATTAGTAATGCACTTGAGCCATGGGGCATCACAGAGACTCCTGATATTAGCAACAGTTACTTTTAAGTGTAAAGTGTAGTAAATAATGATATTGAATAAAGGCTAATAACTATTCTTGATAATATAACTGTATCAAAGTCACTCAGTCACAAACTACATATCCACATGTGTATTGGCTCATGGGACATCAATCTTTTTTAATTTAATAATAAAAAATCCTCCGGTTTTAATTGCAGTGTTATCATAAGTAATTTGAGGATAACTTAAAGCATGTAGGAGTAATATACACATTGGTTACAGGAAAACATAAAATTTCATAAGAATGCCTTGAGTTTCTGGGTATTTTGCTATCTTAGGATATCCTACCTTAGTGAGGGACAGTTGTATTATACTATACTAACACTATCTGAATTCGTTTTGTTTTGTTTTTTTGAGACAGGGTTTTATATATGCCAGCTTGGCCAAGTTCCTGATCCTCCTGCCTTGACTTCCTGAATGCTGGGATCACAGATGTGCCCCGCCACATCTGCCTTTGGATATGTACTGAACTCAAAGTTAAAGCAAGTTTACCATTCAGCCAGAAGGTGCTTGTAGGAACATTCTAGAAGAAAAAGAAATGCATGTACATAAAGAATCATGACACCTTCTCTGGGATATCTGCCAACAATGGCCTGAAATACTTGTTGTTTGATTATGCCTTTTAGTTGGTATTTCTACTGGAGGGAGCCCCTAGGAGACACTCAGTTTTACTATTTGAAGATTAAAGATTGGATTTTCTTTGGTCTTTCTCAGTGAAGGTTAAGGGTCTTCTGAGGTTAAATTTCGGTTCCACACCTGCTGCATCCTTGTTGGACCTAACTGAGGCTGTGAGAGTGCTTTTCTGGAAAAGCTGGTGCTTGCCCCATTTGACAGGTATTTCCCACAAGCTTAAAGGGTTCCCTTTGTTCCCAGGTACCATGTGTCAAGAAAGAAATTCTTCTTGCAACACCCAGAGAGTGGAAGGCGGTTCTATTTTTACCCCATCTGTGAAGTTTCGCTCTCCAGCAGCTGTGTGTGCTCCCATCTGGAAGGCTGCTGCCGATAAACTTGCAGAGTCTGCTCCTATCAAACAGTTAAACTTGCTGCTAAGACATCCCGGCTCCAAACCCACAGTTAGATACCGTCAGAGCTCCTAGCAGCACTAGGGGCAAAAGGTGATGTCCGGTGCTGGGAACCCTTTGGGCATCTCACTTGTCCTCCTGCCTGCCCTACTGACCCTCCTGCTTGGGGGAGCTTGAGAGGGATAAGTCTTGAGGATTGTTCTGAGGCACAAGCCTTCAGTGTCTCTGTATACTCAACTAATTTGTGTCCAACCCCTGGATACATCATTAATTACACTGTCAAAATCTGACTCCAATTACCTTCCCAAATTCAATTTTCACTGTCACACTCTCCTGTCCCCTGGATAGAACAATGTCTTCTGTAAAGCTTTCCTCTGAGTCACAAGGAGAGGTGCATATCCCTGTGCAGAAAGTTTCCTGTCATTTGTCAGTGCTAAATGGGTGGCCCAGAATATGGTGGGTGCTTTACAAAACTTAATCTCCTGGACACATCCATACCCGAGAGCTTCCCATGTGCTGTCATTGAGTCCTTCCAACATTCTCCTACTGCTGACTGAAAATGAATCCTACATGCTCAAGTGAACAGAGTTAGAAAGTAGAATCTCAGATTTGGCACTTGGGGCCACCCAGCCCTGAAACCCATTCTTCTAACTGCTACCTTGCCCAGGTCTTACCACTCAGTTTGGAAACTTACCACCTAGATTGCTTCCAGACCCTAAGTCTCTTTTAACCAGGGGTACAATACATTCATCTCAGAATTGCTAATTTCTGTATTTATTGCTTCAAGAGCCTTTATTACATACATATTCATCATGTGGGACACTCTACATGTTTTTTTTAAATTATATACAGCCATGATACCTGTTGGTTTATTGTCACAAAAATTATTTGTTTATATGTAAATTTATGTCTCTATATGGTGAAACAGATATCCAGAGATATATGATAAACTATTCAAAGATCTCCCAGAAAGTAAGTGAAGGAACTAAGCAGGCAGATGTGCCTTACTCTAGCTGCATGGGCATAGCTTACTCTTTGGGACCCAGAACCCCTGGAAGTGTCTCTTCCTTTCCCATCTGGGTTGCCTGGCATCCAGTTGAACAGTCTCCACCGATCTCAGGGCACACCTGCTCTGTCTCACCTTTGGCTCACTCTGATTTAACTCCTATGCAGGCTAAACCATAACACGTCCCAAACTTCCACCATGAAATCCAGTTCTCCCTTCTCTGTTTCACTTCATCTTAGCCAACAGCCACACCTACTCTCTTACTGGGCAATGCTTTTCATCCTAGTTACTCAATACATAGCCGGTTTCTCTATCAGTCTCATTTGGAATCTGAAATGACCCAGTTGGCCAGCAGCACCCAGAAAATTCATCCTCAGATGAATAAAATAGGGTCAAGGATAAAGTCACATCTCATTTTCGATTCCCAGACCCTAACCAACAATGGGCCTTTTAGGCTATGGACATTGTAAGAAGCGAGGACTCTGCTTTTTCTCACACACATGGGAACTCTTAGAAACTGTCTAGAGTATAGAAATTGGACAATTTTCCTTCCTCTGCGTTACAAGAATTTACCCCAAATGTGTCATTGCACATATGTGCAACTGTTTGTTCTCCCTGTTTTAAAATTGTCTAAATGTACATATTCAGCATATTCAGCCATCCTGGGACCATGATGGATAGCCATGCACAGCCCACTACAATAGCTCTCATGAGCTCTATCCCTTCCCTTGTAGAAGTAATGAAACCCAAGTTCTCCTCTGCACCTTGGGTGCATCTGTAGGCGAGTCAATGCAGGGCAATGGCAAACTATCTTACAAGCAGCCCAGCATTTGAGCAAACAGTGACTGGGGGAAGGAATAGATCTGGACCTTTGTTGTATAGTAGCCCTGTCCTCCCCTGGGATTCACGAAAACTTCACACGACTGGCCCTCGCTAATCTCAGTTGGTCACAAAATAACAAAAGACATGAATGTGTTAAAGGAACTTGTAGGGAAGAAAGGAGATTGACAGGAGTGAGATGGAGAGAAAAAGAAGTTGGGAGGAAGAATAATCAGAATGCATTATATACACATATGAAAGTGTCAGAGTATAAATTATCTAAGCTGAAGTTGAATATTAAATAATAAAGTACTGGGAACCTTGTAGATACCCAAAAATATCAAATGAATTTAAATTTTTAAAAGCTTTTTATAGATGTTGGTGTTCCTATTTTACACACAGAGATTATGTAGCTCAGAAACATGAGGAGCTTCTCAAGGGACAGCTAGAGACAAGTAAGGCCAAGGGAAGAATCCCAGACCCCGAGGTGTGAGCTACAGTTTACAAGTCTTGCACCCCTGAAAACCCCCAATGTCCTGTGTGATCCAGGGGCTCTCCCAAGCTTTCTCCCACCTCTTCTGTGGGTCACATGAAAACCCAAGCTTAAGCCAGCAACCATGGACAAGCTTCTCCGGTTTGTGCTGATCACTTATGGCAAACTATGTCTCTCAGTGTCGCATGGGATGCATGTTAGGGCTACCTCGAACTCCATACCTGATCAAAGGTTGCTGCAGAGCCACCAGGGCAGCGTGGATGGTCACTGAGATCACTGACAGGTGGAAGTAGTCGAACATGACAGGGACTTGGTGGTGCAGACCCCTCTGGGGGTGAAAGTGCAGGCCAAGTGTGCGACTGCTGATCATCGGTGTCCCAGTCACATCTCTCAGCCTGGAAGGCAAGTGAGTGAGCTCGTATGAGCATGGTTGGTTGGCTCTGATGTCACTCAAGTAGTTCCACTTACAGCCTCATCATCTCACTCAATCCTGCAATATTCTGCCTGGCTGAAAGAATTTTTCCCACAATTGGCAAATGAAGAATGAAGGTTCCAAAGCAGCACTGGGCCTCAGTTCTTCTGTCACTGCAGGCAAATCCAAACCTCAGAGATGGTGAAGATGACCACATCTTTCCAAGGCTCCTATCATGACTGCAAATCTCTTCCCCCCTTTCCTCACCCCCATAGGATGAGTACTACTCATAAAATGCTGCACAGATTCGGTGAGGTTGTGAATTGTGTTGGATCTCCTAGCCCCCAAGGGAAGGAGCTGCAACTAACTCATCTTGACAATTGACTGACTGAATGGACAAAGACTAAATGGTACCCAGAAAACACTGCTGTAACAGTTTGACCAGGTTTAAGAAGTTGCCCCTTACCTTTGCCCTAGTATTTTGTAATCAGTGCATACCCAACCCTAAGAGACAGGCTACTGACAGACAAACCCAGAAGTACTTTTTGTTTCAAAAAGAGAGATGAATTTTTCTCGAGATAGAAGTGCTGAAAAACAGTTTCTGTGGCTCTGTAGGTTGCAGGGAGCCAGAGCCTGAAGAAAGCCACTTCCAGGAGTACAACAAAAAGCATCTCTTCTTCCTCCATGGATAAGCAAATAGATTACAGAGAGGGGAGACAGCGAAGGCTCCCACAGCTCAACCCAGGGTCAGTCTTTCCCTATGATCTTTGCTGTTTGTGGGTAAACATACACCAGCTATTGAACCCCTGGTGCCCATTGTGACTACGTGCAGCACACTCTTTGTTTTAACCAGGAAGAAACCAGATAAAGAAAGGTAGAGAACCCAAGCCATGGGTGTCAGCAGGCTGTCGGCCTTCATGCTCACTTTAATTTGGACAACAATGATCTGAAACTTAACTGTGGAGTGGACATTCTGCTTTCCCCTGTAAGACAAGCATATAATGTGCTTGCTAATTTTATTCCACTCATAAAAGAACAAGTGAAACTAATGTGAATTATTTAACTTGTTTATAATCATTAGAAAAGATGGTCATGCCAGACCGGGAGTTTCCGACTCTCCTCTGTGCTGTTACTGCACAGTATTGCTTTGAGCTCATTTAGACATTGGCTCCTGACAGTGAGAACAAGAAGTTAAGCATAACCCAAGCCTCCTTCAGAAGAAGTAAGGAGGTGAGGGAATCACTGTTCTGTGTTCTGTAATGGACAGTACCCATTTATGGAAAAGCAGCCCACTTCCTCGGGAATCTCAGCGTAGAGAAGATGCAGGTGAACATTTGTGGGTGCGACAGCAGAATGTCTGAGGTTCTTATAAAGGAACTAAGCAAACAAAATGATTCAACAACAGCAAATGTTAATATCTCACAGAAAGACAGAATTATTTTACACACTTGCAAGGAATAAAATGAGGCCAACTGAGAGCACCCATAGGAAGATAAATTGCCCCTCTAAGTTAAAGAATTTCCTACATGCTGAGTTGTGCAGAGACTCATAGGGCTATGTGGGGATGAGTGCCTCAGCCCTGTGCAAGCAGGTGCTCATGAACCATTCTAAATGAGACAGTGTAGACAGAATGGCTGTCTCGAGCATGTGGGATGACTTTGAGAACTGAATAAAGCTTTGGTGGGAAATAGAGCTCTTCTATGTGTTGTACTATTTAGCAGTACCCCTTGTTCCTACCCACTAGATGCCAGCATCACCGCTATTTCCAATGTCTATTGACATGGCCAAAGCCTGGGGACATCATTGTCCCACTAATATAGGAGAGGGATTTCACTAGCCTGTCTAACTCTGATTAAACAACAGCCTCCCATTTTGTTCCTTTCTGCTTGTTTTCTCTATGCTGTTAAAAAAAGTGAAAAAATAAATAAATAAAAACATCTACCCAACTTAAGAATGCTTCAAAGCCTGATGTCCATCTTATAAGGTACTGAAATTATGAAAAATACAGAGATTTGTCCCACGTGTCTTAGTTGAAGAGTGCTGGACCTAAGCTGCTATATTTCACATGTGTTTGTATAACTCGTTTCCTGTATCAGGCTATCCATTAACTGCTCTTCTACTGGCAAGAAAAAACTAATTTGCAACGTTCACTGTGACATGTCTTTCAAACTTCTAGAAGACTTTGTCAGACAATAATTTCTGTGCTCAAGTTTATGATTGATGGCATGGATGGTTCTACATCCAACTAGACGTGTGCATTGTGGAGCAATGGATGGAAACCATGAGGTAGAGGGGCCTCCGACTGAGAGGTTGCTAGAGAGGTGATGACAGAGATCTCAGATCGTATGGGGAGTTGTGAGAACAATGGAATCAGAGGCTTTGATGCTGAGGGGAGGTGGACTTCCTTTAGTATCCACCATCACAGAGGAAACACCATCCTAAAGATTCTTAGCAAGAAAGAGACGTGTGTATGTGTGTGCATGTGCGTGTGTGTGTGCGCGCACACATACACACACACACACACACACACACATACACACACACACACACACACACACACACACACACAAGTAATTCTCAAGGAAGAAATGTGTGCTGTTGAACCCAGAGACATGTCAGGAAAATGGATATTCCTGGCAGCCCAGGGACCAAGTCTTATCAGCTACAGTTAATGCATGTGTTTTCTCGATGACTCAACAGTGCCAGATCTCTTGACATCTTAGCAGAGGTTCTTTGTTTCAGAGTCACAATGACTCAGTTTCCCTTATTGTGAGAACCCTCAAGTAAGTCCTAAAGAGAGGGAGTCTGAGCTCCCAGGAAGGGGTGGAGGAGTTCCCAATTCTGCCACTATTAGCCCCTATTCTGCCATTTTTTAGTCCCTGCCCCCCAGTGCCTGTTCTCCAAAAGCAAAGGAGAAGCAGTTGTTGAAGAATTTAAAGAGACAAGATGTGAGCACTGACTGCTACAGAGAATAGTCAGTGTATGCTAGCATCCTTCTAATAGGATGCAGAGGAAAGAAATGTCATCTCTTTGTCCTCTCAAACCAAAGCAGGAGTTCTGAAGGGTAATTGCCTTGTGCACCTTATACCTGTGGGTGTAAAGTTCTGGTGCCTGATGCATCCTGCAGTGTCTCTCTGGATAATAGCTGGGTTTGACTAGCTTGGACAGCAAAGCAACTGTGCAGAATAGCTCCCACAATTTTAGGAAGGGAATTAAAATAACTTTACACAGCTCCCATGGACCACATGTGGATTCTCTGGAGAGGATCTGCCACAAGTATTTTCCTAGAAGTCATGCCTGACCACAAGAGGCTTGACTTTATTGGGGAACTTCAAGGATGGGGCAGAGTTGGGGTGGAGGTGTGCTTAATGGTCATACCGTCAAGTAACTCACAAGAACCCTGATGATGACTGAGCATTTACCCTAGAAAGGACACCGCTTGCCAGCATTCAAATGTGATTTCCTGGCCCTTACTGTATCTCCTTCCTCATTGTGCCTGATCTACAAGCCGCAGCGGTAGGGGCAAAGCAAGCTAAGGAAGAAGCACAAAGCCCTCTGCCATCCCCTTTTGGATGTTGAGACCATCCTATACTAAAAGGGCCTAAATGAATGGAAAGAAACCTTAAATGAAATGAGAGCTTCGAAGTTTTGATGTCACATTTTTTAATATCTCAGAGAAAGATTGATTATCTAATTCTTGAGAGAATATAGAAAGGCTTAAGAGGCAAATAGCCCAGGCCAGGGTAGAGAAAGAGGCCACAGAACAAACTTGAAGGAAGCTATTAAGAAAAGGAAGAGAACGGCTCCCTGCTTATTTCCTCAGCAAGTTTTACATAAATAGATTTCAGTTCACAGAGAGTTGAAGAACAATAGCAGATGTTCAGTATGAGCACATGGAAGACCAGGAAGAATGATTTGAAGGAAGTTTTGACTGTCTAGCACATGGAGGCATTACTCTAAAACCCCCAAATCAGTACCACATAGGGAAAAATGTTTTAAGTAGAAGATAGCCATTAATAACCAAGAAGCCAGCAATTGTCTGTTTGCAGAACCCAAGCAGCCTGGCTCCTACGAGTGAGTTTTTCCAGGCTCTGGCAGACATGCTGTGATGGCAAATCATGGCCTTCAACTTGACAGCATCTAGAATCAGCTAAAACCCAAGCTGCTGGGCACTCCTGTGAGCGATGTTCTTGATAAGTTGCTTTGAAGTAGGAAGATCCACCTTAAATCTGGTCAGCACCTTCTGGTGGCAGCTCCATAAAGGGACACAGAAGAAGGAAACTTTGCTTTTTGCCTACTTGCTCACTCTCTCGCTGGCAAGGCTATCTCTTCTGTTCCTGCATCATTCTTTCACTGGTAATCACACCAACTTCTTCCAATTGCGTCAGGATTCTAATGTACACTGAAAAGCAGCATCTCTCCAGGAGTCCCCCCAGGCCTTCAGCACTGGACTGGGGCTGCAGAGACATTCAGCTTCATGGACTGAGCCACTACCAGGTTCTTGGTCACTCTAGCGTGAGTCAGCTATTGTTGGACTCTCTGGACCACACCATATAAGGCAATCTAATACATCTTGTGTGTGTGTGTGTGTGTGTGTGTGTGTGTGTGTGTGTGTGTGTGTGTGTGTGTTTGTGTGTGTGTGTGTGTGTGTGTGTGTGTGTGTGTGTGTGTGTATCATGTTATCTGTCCTGTTCCTTAGAAAAACCTTGACTAATACAATGTCTATCCCATGTTCCTGGTAAATTGGGACTACTGAGCGACATTACTGATTACTAGTAACTAGCCATTCCAGAGAAATTAAGAGGATTCTAGCTTTGAGGAAGCCCTAAGAGTGAGGAAAGGGTAGAGGAAAAAACAACTCTACACAGATCAAGGATGTCCATTGACACTCACTGCTGCTCACTATCCGTAAAGTGCAGGTCCACCTTGAGCTGAAACTCGACCTCGCTCAGTGCATCTTCTACCTGAAAGACAAAGACCAAGAGAGTTCAGAAGTCAATTAGTAATCCAACTGGGACATTTAGCTGACTGTTTCTCAAAGCAGAGAGACAGAATCTCACAATAACGCGCCACTGATGTGTAGCAAGAATATCTATGCATGAGACATCAAGTTCTGAATAAGTAGACTATTAGAATAGGGATATTAGATGGAAAATGGAAACAAAGGATTCATACAGCCAGCTTGGTAAAAGGATATCTTTAGCCATTATTAAACAAGCATCCTTGTAATGCTTAATCTCCATTGTCAAGTTGATGAAATATAAAATCACGTCAGACATAAGTCTCCAAGCATATCGATGGGGGTTGTTTAGCTTCTGAGCATGCAGATGAATGATAGTCCTAGTTAGGTTAAATGATGTGGGAAGACTCATCTTAAGTGTTAGACAGGACTTTCTCTGGCTAGGTATCCTGAACTACATGAGTGGAGGAGCAGGCTGAGCATTGGCATGTACTGATTGCTCTCTGCTTCCAGTTTGTGGATGCACCATAACCAGCTGCTGCAAGTTTCTGCAACTTTGACTTTTCCTGCCATGATGGGCTGTTTGAAATGTGAGCTGGGATCAACCCTTTCTCCCTTAAGTTGCTCTTGTCAGCTTATTTTTATCACAGAAACTAGAAATAAATGTTAAGCATTTAAGCATTTTAAGTCTCATTTTCAAATGAATTTGACATGGATTCCAGGCACGTGTAAAAGACTAAATAGCCTCTACCCTGGGAAGGATGGCAGAGTGAACTATCAGTGGAACAAAACTTGTGCAGAGATGCATGAAGTTACCACTTACACTCAAATATCCCCATGTGACTCACATCACCATCCACATGTTAAGGGGAGGAAGCTGGCAACCAGGGAGCTTAAGTGATTAATTTCCAAAGTGACTCAAGCTCCTTCAATTTTATCTTGAGATTCTATGCTAAGTCTCAAACTCTGCTTCCTTCAATGTTTGGGTTTCATCCATGTTTGTGCTGATCTTTGCATTTAAAAATAGGCAGTAAGACAGTTCTTTTCACATATGCCCCCAAAATGGTGTCCCCGGGTCTCCTTTCTCAAATGTATAGGGGAATTGTGTGCTATGTAGCAGTCTATTATTATCTGTACTCTGTGGATTCATTCAGTGTCAGCACTGTCCCTGTACCACAGGGCTTAGACCCCTGTCTGCTCCCTGGCTGGCTGAAACCCTCCTCTGCAACTCAGAGTGAGCCACCTCTTTTCCCTCTTCACATTTTGCACTTCTGATTACCATAGCTTGTTCTGAGCTCCTATGTTGGAAACCCATAAAGCAAACCTCACCTCCAGGCAGGTTTTGTTTAGTCCCCCTAGTATTTTTAAAAACATTTTGAACAAGTTGCAAATGCAGGAAATTCAGGTAATTTCACATTCATATTTGTATTGTGGGTTTATAGCTTCTGGGGAAAAAAGGCAAAACATCCCTTGGATCTGGCAAGGCAGGGCTGACATTTGTTAGCTCTGTTTGGATCAGGCAAATCCTGCAAATACCACTGGTTTACCGCAATCCCTGGCAGTGCTCTCCTGCTTGAGGCAAAGCACCCTGGCTATTTTTTTGCCATATGTCCCTGCTAATTTCCTTGTTAAGGAATACGTTAGTCCTTATTCGTTGTGGACTCCAACTTGCAGGAATAGTGTCCTGTGCGGAGGCAGTGTCAATGTATCTTTGAGGAATAAAACTGTTCTCCCAAACTCACCTATTTTGTCTTTTGTTTCTTTACAAAAATACTGTCATCCCACAGTGACAGATATCACCTACCCAAAGGCTTCTTTGGAAATAACTTCTTAATTAAATATAATTCAAGCAGAGACATACGGATAGAATTTATCTTTGGGTCTTTGTGGTATTAAAAAATGTTATTTTTTAAAGAATACTTAGAAAGCTAACATTTTGCTGAATTCAAGTGCTATAAATAACTTCTCTTATGTTTATTTTTCATAACCAAAAATCTAGCTTTGTATAGAACCAAAGGAGCATGGGCTTTCACTACCAGTTCCCTGGAAATAAGATGGGAGAAATAAACCCATTAACCACTTTCTGAGCAAGCATTTGCCTGGATACTGAGAACTTCCTGTGAGCATTAGATTTAGTGGCTGCAATTCTCTGGGAATCGAGACTAGACTGATTCTGATTATGACTTTCCCTAGTTCCTTGCTAAACCTTACTTGCAAGATACCTACACATATATGTTTATAGAAGCCTACATATTATAGTAGCAAGATACCTACATACACATGTTTATAGGAACCTACTTATTATAGTTGCAAGACACCTAAACATATGTTTATCACAGTGATTCTTCTCTTTTCCTCCAGGTCCCCTGTAACCTGAAGGCTAAGGAGGCAGCTTCTAAAGTCAGAATGCATGAATGCAAATCCTGAATCCAGTTGTTTTCCATTCATAACATGAGAGTAAAATACTTCTACTTAATCTATAACATTAGAGTGAACTAAAGAACGTGTACAGAAAGGGTTGACCAATTTCAAATAATGCAATTTGTTATGGTTGCTGTTATTTCTACTTTACTGCTGAGCTTGAACAAACGGAGGATCCTCCTTCTCCCACCACTTCTACATTATGGTCCTATATGCTCTTTGAAAAAAAAACACATCTTAAATTCCGTATTTAAACCACAGCTTTACCACACCTTCGTGGTATGATGGAGACAAGTCACAGCTCTAAATCTCTGCCTCCTTATACATCAAAAGGGGTTGAGAAAGCCCCTCACCATACTGCAATGACTCAATGAGATACTACAAAGCACTCAGCTAAAAGCCCAATGGAATTAATCTGCTGTGGGATGTTCTGTATGGCAAATGTGTTGCTGATTGGTCAATAAATAAATCACTGATTGGCCATTGGCTAGGCAGGAAGTATAGGCGGGACAAGTAGGAGAATAAAGCTGGGAAGTGGAAGGCTGAGTCAGAGAGACACTGCCAGCCGCCACCAGGACAAGCAGCATGTGAAGATGCCGGTAAGCCACGAGCCAAGTGGCAAGGTATAGATTAATGGAAATGGATTAACTTAAGCTGTAAGAACAGTTAGCAAGAAGCCTGCTGTGGCCATACGGTTTGTAACCAATATAAGTCTCTGTGTTTACTTGGTTGGGTCTGACGGCTGTGGGACTGGCAGGTGAGAGAGATTTATCCTGACTGTGGGCCAGGCAGGAAAACTCTAGCTACATTAATCTGACAAATATTAGATGTTACTGGTGATAAGATCAGTGGATGGTTAATACAACTAGATCCAGTTCCTATCACTATTCAATAGAAGCTTTGCTTCTCTCAACTACATTGGACTATCACTGGTGTCTCCAAGAGCATGGCATAATCTATTTATTCATTCATTCATTCATTCATTCATTCATTCATTTTACATCCCGTATGAAATTTCCCCTTTCCCCTCTCCTCCCATTCCTTCCCTTCTCTCTGCCCCACCCCCAATCTACTCCTCTTGTTTCTGTTCAGAAAGGGGCAGGCCTCCCATGAGTATCAACAAAGCATGGCATATCAAGTTGCAGTAAGACTATGCATCTCCCCTTGTATTAAAGCTGGACAAGGCAACCCAGTATGAGGAATAGGTTCCCAAGAGCCAGCCAAAGCATTAGGGACAGCCCCTACTCCCACTGTTAGGAGTTCCACAAAAACCAAGCTACACAACTATCACATATATGTAGAGGGTCTAGGCTGTTCATATCCAGGCTCCCTGGTTGTTTAATTAGATTCTGTGAGTTCCTATAAGACAGGTTAGTTGTTTTTGTGGGTTTTCTTGTGATGTCCTTGTTCAACTATGTTCATAGCAACTTTATTCATAATAGCTGGGACCTGGAAACTACCTAGATACCCTCCAATGGAAGAATGGATCAAAAAATGCAGTACATTTACACAATGGAGTATTACTCAGCTGTTAAAAAATGACATCAGGAAATTTGAAGGTAAATGAATGAACTAGGTTAAAATCATCCAGAATGAGGTAACCCAGACTGAGAAAGACAAACATGACATGTACTCATAAGTGGATATTAGCTGTAAAGTGAAGGATAACCATGCCAGAATCCGTAGACCCAGAGAGACTAGGGAACAAGGAGTTCCCAAGGGGAGATACATGGATCTCCTGGGAAGGGGAAATAGAAGAGATCTCAAGTGGACTGGGGGCAGGTGGGGATGGGAACTTGAGAATTGGGTTGAGGGGGTCAATGGAAAGGAAGAGTACTGAAAGAGATGACTGGAAGGAAGGCATTTCAGGGTCAGGTAGAAATCTGATGCAAGGGAAATTCGCACAAATCTACAAGGATGAACCCAGCTAAGACTCCTAGCAATAGTAGATACATAACCTAAACTGGCCATCCCCTGTGATCAGATTGATGACTGCTCCAATTGTTATCAGAGAGCCTTCATTCAGCAACTGATGGAAACATATGTAGAGACCCACAGCCAAACATTACCCAAGCTTGGAGAATTCTGCTGAAGTGAGGAGGAAGAATTGTAGGGCCCAGAGAGGCAAGGCCCACTCTTATAGCTCATTTCTACAGACTGCCTTATCTACATGGAGTCCTCCATCTCCTGGGTATAACTGAACTCTGCTCTCTAGGCTACCTTTGACTGTCATGTGGCTTTGCCATTGACATGCTCTGTGTTTGTTATCTTCTCTGGCTCATTCTACTGTTCCTCCCTCTTATTAGTCTATATATTTTTAAGTCTGCCCAAATCTTCTATGTCACTACAGCATATATGAATAAAATATCCACAGGGCCTCCACAGCCACTCCTTGTCTGTATTTATTTTAAAACATCCCATCAGATTCCTTGGCTTCTAGTTAGTTCTCTTCGTAATCGGTTCTGGTTCTCATCCATGGCCTCACAGCAGAGACTGAATCTTCTCTTCTATAATGTGCTTGTTGCTCACTAACTGAGCTACCAGGCCCTTGAAGACAAGGGGCCTTGAAACCTTCTTCACTTCTATGTCTTCTCCAATGACCTAACCCAGAGCTTAAAAAGAACAGATAATTACACCATACATTCGTGGACAGTAAGCCTGAGAAGAGAGGTACACTCAAGCAAGTGAGGAGTGACTGTCGTGACTATGGTTTCATGGAATGAGCAGGTGGGAGAATGAAGAAGAAAAATACATCCGAAGCAGGTGAATATCTGAACCATAAATTCTTACCAGATCTCAGAATCAATTAGTAGTTTCTCCTTCATTCACCCTGAATCCAACAACGAGAGGGAATAGTTAGTCAGGAAAGACAACCTCTGTGTCTGGCAGGAGAGCAAGACTTACCCTCTCACCATCTAAGAGCAAGTGAGTCCGGAAGAGCATGGCATCATTTATGGGAACTTCTTCATTCCTGTATAAGATCTGGAAGATTCGACTATGCACAGCACTCTCATGGACACAGGCTGAATGCAGGCTGCTGCTTTCTGCAAACAGGAAGGAAATCAGTAGGAGGCCATGAACTTTGGAACAATCCTGAAAATACAGTCCTATCAGGTGTCTTTCTGGTCTTGGGGAATACGGTGATTCCAACCTGAATTACAGTTTCCAAAGCTTAAGATCACAAATGAATGAGCACCTACCATGGGAATGGTTTTGTTCACTGGAGTAGACGGTCTCTCAAGAGAACCTTGTTCAATGTCTTATAAGCCACATGACTTTAGCAAAATCATTCTTGCTGTGAGCAGTATTCCTATCTGGAAGTTAGTACCTGCAAAATTCCTCACCTGATCACATGTCAATACTATGAGTCTTTTCACCACCATCCAGGAAACAAAGAGTATGATGAATAAACTAGAGAAGGCAGCCTTCTTTCTACAAAGACTTCCTAGTGCTCATAGCATCCATCCCCCCTGCAAATGCTGCTATATCATGTGTGGTCTGATGAATGTTCTGTCTAGAATTTTAGGCAAATATCACATTCTAATTGTACTGCTGAGAAGTACTCTAATGAACCATGTTATGTTAGAACTTCAGTGTGTTCTATTTCATAACCACTAAACAACATTTCAATGCCAAGTTTCATTCAAGTAGACAATAACATTAAGAGATCTAACTGCATCCATTTTCCAGGGTCTTCATGTGTATGAAATAGGTACATGCCTATAAATACTACCACACACATTTTAGAGTGAAAAAGCATGTAATTATTTAAAGATAAATAATGTTAAAGTTTATGCAAGGCAATGATTACTTATTCATAACAATATCTATAATACATACTTAGTAGCTTCCAAAGCACGTTAAATGTGCTTTTCTTAATCCCCAAGAAAAATTCTAGGATAAGTATGCTATAGACTAATGCCCTAAAACTAGAGGACAGTGCTTTAGTATTTCTTTATTGGCAATTGGATGTTTGTGTTTACCCCAAATTCACAAGTTAAACCATAAACTTCATGTGATACCACTTGAAGATAGTGGTCCTTGGGAGGTGACAAGGTTGTAAATGGCCTGGTAGGAATGATGACAAGTGTCTCTCAGCCTGGCTATCCAACAGTTGTAAAAATGGACCACCAAGAACTTTGAGATTGAATGAGAATTGTTACCCAAAGGCTCTGGCTTTTGGACATGTGACCCAGTTAGTGGCACTGTGTGTGGGGGGGGGGGATTTAGAATGCATGGCCCAGCTGGAGGAAATATGTCACTGGAATCAATCTTTGCAAGTAAAAACCCTCACCTACATTCAGTTTTTTCTCTCTCTCTTTACTTTGAAGTTGTGGTTAATGGTATGAGCTCTTAGATTCCTATTCCAGCTACCATGCCTGATGCTTGCTGCTGCCATGCTGTCCCCATCATTATGAGGAATCTAACCTGCTGAGACTGTAAGCCAAAATATATTCATTCTTCTGTAAGTTGTCTTGATGGTGATGTTTTATCATAGCAAAGGAAAAGCAACCAATACAAGCTTGATTGAAAAAAAAAGAGCTTACAAAAAGAAAGAAATATGATCACATGGCAAATAAAAACCACTTGCGGTATCTGAGTCCCTACGAAATAAGAACCGAGAGCATTGGCATACCATTTCAATGCACAGTAGCATCCAAGCACACACTTCTGTAGCTAGGAAGCAGAAACCATGCTAGACCCCATGTTGCCTGCAGGGCTACTAAGACCTGTCTGCTCTAATTTGTACATCATCACAAGGAAATAAAATCACAGTCCTAATCTAGCTCCATGGAGACCTGTTGGATTCAAGTTGACATGGCTTTTAAATAGAATCTCCTCTGTGTACAGATTGCTCTGTTTTTATTGCCCGCACTGCCCCCTTTTCTTCTTCCTTCCCTTGTCAGAGTCTGGTTGATCTATAAGTCAGACCAACAATGTGGAAGAGGATAGATGGAGTAAATACTCTGAAGGTCAGAGCGGCATGAACTGTCTGCTGCCAGGAGGGACAGCCGGCAAAGAAGCACAATCTGTTTCCTTTTGGGGAAGGTGACATCATCTCTTATAACAGCAGCTTTTCTTGTGAAAAATGAAATGGGCATATCCACACTGATCAAGTGGAAGTATCATGGATATAAAGAAAATCCAACAGACCAGGATCCTATGACCTAGCAAGTACAGGGTCTGCAGTATACAAGACATTTTAGCTGTGCTGAGAACTGGCTTTCTCGGTAGTTTCTGGTGAATGCCATGAAATTAGGTAGGTCCCTAAGGACACATGTCCTCTGATTTAGATCAGATTGGCAGACTAGGTCACAGGGTACCATTTGCCATCACTGAAGAGCCCAAATCCCCACAATACCCTGCTCATCCCAAGACAGGGCACTTAGCAGGTTGTATGGGACTCTGTGTCATTTTCCATCATCACCAAACAAAGGATTGTATTTTTATTCATAACGGAATGTACACTAATCACAAGACACTCTCTCTGGTGGTGAACATCACTGAAATTTTGCCTGCCTGTGTAGCCCCATTGGGATTCCCTCTCCTTCAGTGAGGGCAGTCCATGTGTAGATATCCCAACCTTTCTCGCTCTTCTTGACATCCTAAAGGGAACACATTTTCTTCTCAGCAAAGCTACTTACTAAAATAGTTTACCATGGATGCTGTGCTCTCTTTGTGCAGGTTTCCCCATTAGACTAGAGGGACCAATTCACATCATCTGTGCCTCTTCTTCCTCTTATGAACAGGCACAAAGAACTCAGAAATGGGAAAAATATATGGTCTGTATCCTTCATAGTGCACAGTGGCCAGAACAGGTGATAAAGGTCTATAATCCCAGCTACTCAGGAGGCAGAAGTAGGACAGTTATATGCCTCCCTGAACTATAGAACAAGTTCAAGACCAGTCTGGGTAACTTCGTTCAATGCTATCTCAAAGCAAAAATTCAAAAGGGACTAGAGAATTGTCAGAGGTGTAGAAAAGTTACTGGTCTGTGTAAGGGTTCAATCCATGATACCACCAAATGAACAAAGAGAAAAAACTAATGCACATGTTGAAGAGTGGTCCTCTCTTATCCTTTGGATGTATTAATGAAAACCGATATTTCATCACACATGGAGCCTACTCTGAGAGGTCTATAAGAGGATGTACACTCAAGTCTTCTCAAATATGTTTGCTTCTCCATGTCAGGAATAGCATCGTGTATGAGGAGGGTACGGGCTTTAATTAATAAGATGAAAGGAGAAAGGAAGGATTGGAAGAGGAAAAAGAGAGTGGGGGAAAGAAGGTGGCCGAGGGGAAAGTGAACAGGGTAGAGAAAAGTACAGAGGTTCCCACTGTACACAAAATACATCTCAACAGCTGCCTCTAGATTCAGGGCAAAGAGCAAAAGAACAAAATTTTATATCTTGATATTTCTCTTTCCCCCTAAAATGAGTCAGATGAATACTTATCATATCTACAGACCTCTTAATGTTTAAAATTCAGTTGATGATCTTCCTCTGCTGAGACAGACAGATAGACACAGACACAGACACAGACACAGACACAGACACACACACACACACACACACACACACACACACACACACACACACACACACACACCCCACAGGCTCTGTGAGCATAGATAACAAGCTGGAACTGCCAATCTTCCTACAGAACCCAATGCCAACAGCACCCTCACTGATCACTGACATGGACCAGATAAAATATTGGGAATCCACATCTGAGTTTTTTTTTTTAACTCAACCCACACCCTGTGAGAGAGTGCTCCCCACCACCATTAAAAAGCACATTGGAAAAGCCCCATCTGAGTGTGAGTCCCCCCCATGACCACCTGGATTTCAGAAGAAAGACTTCTCTTACTGAGGGTCTTATTTAGTTATTTCTACAATCATTCCCACTATTTTTCTGGATGCCTGGCCTTGGGCAGATAAATAAATCTGAGCTCAAATAATGCAAGAGACTGTCCTTCCTAGTTTCCAGGAAATGGTGAATAAAGAAGAAAGTTTTTAATGGTAAAATTCTCAAAACTCAGATTTCCAAGTAGGATGAAGGTAAGCTTAAAGATGACTGTACACTGTTCATTTTCTGCCTGCTTCTAGGAAAGATAGAAAGCTGCTTTGAAACCAAATGATTACTTTTCTTCAAACAATTCAAGGAAGAAGCAAAGCAAAGTCATGTTGAAAAATAAATTCAAAATGTGATTCACATGTTGCTGGCTGGTGGGACTGGGGCATACACTTGATTGGTGTAAATGTTATGGTTGTCCATTCACTCATTAAAGTAGCATTAACCTGGGTGGGAAACAGGAACTCCTGAGGAACAAGGAGGTTTTGTTGTTTGTTTGTTTGGTTGGTTGGTTGGTTTTTTCCTTATTTTTCTTTCTATGTGTGTGAAATTTGTGGGGGAGGGGATCATCAGAAAAGACAAATTTTCCTATCCAAAGAGATATCTACATACTCTTTGGAACAGAGGGGCAACTTGGTCCTCAAAAATAAAGGTAAGTGAAGAAAGCAAAGGCCAAAGTGAGAACTCTCAACACTGTGAGGTTCAGGCCCTCCTAGGTAAGACTGGTTTTCCTGCACTATGACTTGTTTCAGTGTGACAGGAAGGTTGAACTCTGTTGATCCACAGCTGAATATGTGAAGATGTTTCAATGTGTTTGGTGCTATGATTACATATTACCACATACTGGGCAGTTACTAGTGAGTAGGAATTTGTTGGCTCCAGAGTTCTGGAGAGTCAAGGGGTCTCTCTCTGGCAAAGACCTCCTTGCTGTATTATTCCCATGACAAAAGTGACAATAACTTGCCCTTTTGTGGTGGTAACTATCATACCCTCAGGTATAGTCTTAGCTCTTACCTTCTAAGTCCTACTTCACAACACCATCATGATAACTAAGGTTTATTGCCAGTTTTGGAGATGACAAACATTCAAAGCACAGTCTATCTACAGAGTTATAAACTAGGAGCTTACAACAGCGTCTCCAGAGATCTAAACAGATGCTTGGACCAGCAAGGAGCTCATCACTAAGTCA